ACACTTTTAGATGCCCGGACTCATTTTCCCTTGCCATCCGAAAACAAAATGTTTATTATTTAATATCATAAGTTAGCTAAAGTGTTGAGTATAAAATGACAAAAAAGAATTACCGACTATTTTTATCAATTTCGAAAAAAGTTAAGGCAAAAGAAAAAGTGCCCTCAATTTGCTGCACCCTGTATTATTAGTAAAGCCCGGATTTATATGAAAGTAAAAACAGTGAAATAGGAACCTAAGATAGGCACCAAGAAGCCAAAAAATGCACAAAAAAGTCAGGTAAAAATGGCTATCAGCCGCATAAAATTAAGATAAAATCAAGAAACTAACCATTATTCGTTATTTTTTAAATTATATACTATTTATTACTTTTACCATTTATAGTCATTTTGAATCATTTGCCAACTATAAATTCGGGCTTTAATTAGTAGATATTAGTGTTATTCAAACGCGTTTTTTCGGTATCGGTATCGGTATTTTCGGTAAAATACCGATACCGAAAAAATACCGATTTATTAAAAATTGTTCGGTACCGTATTCGGTATCGGTATTTCGGTAAAAATACGGCGGTATTACCGAAAAATACCGCCGTAATACGGTACCGTGAATAACACTAGTAGATATTCATATGTAAAAAATTTATTATTTTTAATGATTTTTCAATTTATGTCATAAAATATTTATGAAAAATTTTGAAATGAAAATAGGGTGGAGTAGTTAAAGGACCCGGTCCGTCGCGGTTGCAAAGCCCCTCCTTTTGAACGTGTTACTCACAACTGGCAACTTAATCCCTTTAAATCCTTTTATATTTTTAAAATTGCCGACAATGATAAAATGAGTATACTTATTCCTTAATCTTTTTCAAACCTTTTAAATCTAATATAGCAACAAAATTTAATCAATTTAAATATTTAGAGACTGAGCCAATATTCTGAAAAGTTTACAAAAATTAATTTTAATTATTAGTCATTTTGCAAATATGTATGAAAAAAATTATAAAATATTAAATTAATATAAAAATCTATCGATAAAAGTAAAAAAAGCGAAATAAATGTACATATAAAGCGCTATAAAAAATAAATATTGGAAAATCGTGGACGATAAATGAGGTTATGGTTTGAGGGAGGAACGCTAGTTTTTAAACACAGATAGGTGATGAAGATAGATGAGGTTATGGCTTGAGGGAGGAAAGCTTAATTTTTAATAAAAATAGGGCGACCTAAAAACTGTTTATTTCCAAAACATTTTAAAACTTTTAATTGATTTTTCTAATTTATAAATATTTTTTTTTAATTTTTAAATTTAATTTTAACAATTAGAATATTTTTTAAATATTCAGAATATTTATTACCAACATGCTTTTCTTTCAGATTCTGATTCTGAAGATAGTTTTGAATGTAAGTTTATTCTTTTCAATTATTCATTTCTATTTGTTTTTTAAATAGATAGATAATGATCCTCTTAAAAAAAGTAGGTCAAAACTTTTTACTGAAAAAGTTAAATTCCTTAAAAACATAATTATTACAATAAATCTAAATGATTTTGTGAGGGCGTCGGAAATCGAAATTGTCATGATGTTGAGGGAAAAGGAAAGTGTTGACAGTATCATTCTAATTAATTATGTTTATATTATATTTAGAAATTTTAAAAAAACATAATATTTATAATAAAGGATTATGTGAAAATGAAACAGGTGAAGGTCAAGAACTATTTTAAATAATGAATATGAGGAAGCTAAATAAGTAGTTTTTAAAAAGATTTCTACAGCTAAATTTATTTCTTTGGTCTGATGAGTCAAATAAACGTAGCATAATTACTGTCACAGGTTTTATTAAATAACGTATATGTATATTATGCAACCAAACATTATATGTTTTGGCAGTAAATTAAATTAAAGGTCGACATACAGCAGAAATTATTTCTACTTTATTGACCGGTTATTAACTGTTACCCGGGTTAATACAAATTTTAAAGACACGGCTTTCGATTCTCAGTTTTATTTTTTCGATCTTTATACATTGAAATGCTCCTTGCTTAAAAACAGAGTTCATTACCTAGCCGGAACCATGAAAGTGTATGATAAAATCTGAGTTTTCAAGGTTTCTAGGTTTTAACTCGATAAATTTCGGCTTGGGTCAGTCCCGGAAATATGTTTATTTCGAACTCTAATAAATATTTCTGAAATTTAAATTTGTTTTATAAAATAGAAAAATAACCTGAAAATTAAATTAATTTTAAATTTATTACTCACACCAAATCTCGACCCAAAGGTCAACTACGAACCCGAACAGGCCCTCCCAGTAAATCTCGACAATTGAGGCGTATATATTTATCATGAAATAACTATTAATATTAGAGTTTATATAAATGATTTTATTCATTAATATTAAATGTTAGAATAAAGTATGTTCTGCAAATTAAATTCGATTTTTTTTAGTTTATTAGCAAAATCAATTTGGATACATTTGTTGATTTTGTACATTTACTTGATTATTTTCATTTAAAAAATTTATATGACGAATGAGGGGCTTGATGGCATTTGAGTGTAGATTTTTGTAGCCTTGCACAGTGGAATTTACACACTTTTTTAATATTCTGCAAAAATCAGATTGAATTGTCGTGTTCATTGTTAAGTAAATGACAGGAGGAATTCCTAAAATAATTTTATTATTAGATGTATGGCATGTCTGCACATTTGTTTTCATCAATAAAAATCATAACCCCTCTGCTAGGAAATGCGTTATGTAACTTGGTACAATACCTAGCAACCGATGGAAATTGCCTAAAATCCTGCCAAAAAGTGAAAATTTAGGAAAAAATTTGTAAAAATTACAAATTTTGTAAAAAAAAATTTTTGTGTTAATTGGTTTTGCCAGAAAATGGCCCACCCCCATAATGTCTCAGTCCCAAAACGTCGCACCTCAAGATGTCCCACCACCAAAATGCCTCATCTCAAAATGCCCAACACCGTAAAAATGCTCAATTTGTCGAACTATACATTTAAAATAGGAGAAATCTTAATAAAAAATGTATTTTAAATCATTTCGACTAAAAATATGTAAAATTTTTAGGTATAAATGGTATTTTTCATGCATATATGCGTGTATATTTTGGTTTACTTGCATATTTTTGTGCATATTTTGGCAATTTTTTATGCATATTATAGTGCATATTTTGCATTTTTTAATGCATAAAAATCCGGGCTCTACTCATTACAATGCGCGAATGGTATACATTGCATTCCATATTACTTATCACATTGCTTATTATTAAGATACGGTTTGCGTGAAATATAGAGGAGCCTTTTGTATTATATAATTTAATATGTAGAACTTTATAGAGTTGTCCTAGCATGTCTTAAAATTAGCCACTTTTTTAGTTCGGATGATAGAATTGAGCATGTGTGTATTTGTACCTAAGAGTTTTCGGATTAAGTAAAAAATGATAAGAAATTAGAACGTTCGAACATGGAACCAACAAGCATATTAACTAGTGTTATTCAAACGCGATTTTTCGGTATCGGTATCGGTATTTTAGGTAAAATACCGATACCGAAAAATACCGCGGTATTCTTGATTGAGTCGGTATCGGTTTCGGTATCGGTAAAATACCGATACCGAAAAATACCGACGAAAAATAGTCGGTATTACGGCGGTATTTCGGTATTTTTTGAAAATTTACCAAATAAGCGAATTTAATACAATAAATGTAAAATAAATTTATAAATAGTGAATAAATAATGAATTTAGTATTTGTAATGAATCAATGGAAATGTTTGGTTGAGAAAAATTAACATTTCTGCATTTACTGGACTCAAAAGGATCGTCTGTAGTCAAAGACATCTCTCGCTACGGAAAAAATTCTTTCACTTTCTACTGACGTTGCTTGCGCAGAAAGATAACGTTGAACAACAGGAACCAAAAGAGGATAAAGTTTCTCGTTTCTCTTCCAATAATTTAATGGGTCAGAATCCAAAGCCTTGAAAGTGAAAAATTTTCTGTAGTTTTTGTAAATGAACAGAAAACTAACCTCCAGATCATTATTCTTGTTAATGTTCAGCTACCTGGAAAATACCGAAATACCGAAAAATACCGCGGTATTTTGATCGAGGCCGTATCGGTGTCGCATCCTGCGAATTACTCATTTAATTAAACTTATGAAATTACGAAATTTGTTAATCACTGAAATTCTTTATTCACTTTCTCACACAAACACATTACAAAATACTTTCCTGTAAATCAACCGCTATAAAAATAGCTGGCTTTTCCCCGTTTTATCTATCACAGCGGTCTCGGCGGTCATTAAGCTCTATCTTTGGATCACAATCTGTCACCTTTATTATAAATTTATATGCTTCTTCCTCTCTCAAATTAATTGTATTTTTCATTGCGAAATAAATTATTGAACGTTCGAATTAATAATTAATTAGGAGTCCCGAAAATATAGGAACCATTTCCTACAGCTCAGCCGGATTAGAAACCCGAAAAATGTCCGCACCCTTCCGCGAGGTATTGCGGCTTCTTGCCGAAGATGCTATCGAAATTTTAGAAAATAAAAAAGAATTTAATCTCCCCGAACAAATAGGGAGCATTTCCCTCCACCGTGCAAACATTCGCTCCCTCATTACATCCCTCAAATTAGAATTAGGACATGTATCCGAAACAATTACAGATATAACCTCAGCCCACGAAAAATGGATGAGCATTCGTACCAGTATGACAGGAGCAGAGCGCCAAGCCGACACCCCCATATATGAAACATTTACTACAGAGACCCCATTTCTTAATATACTCAGAGATTTAAAAAGATTTTCCCGTAAACTCATTGCCGAAAAGGCTAAATTAACAGAAGCTCTTCCCGACCCCTCTCAAATCACAAATACACATTTCCATCTCCCGAAGCTCTCACTCCCCAAATTTAGCGGAAAATGTGTTGAATTCACTTCTTTTTGGAATTCATTTAAAGTTGGTGTCCACGACGTTCCAGACCTTTCCGACGCTGTTAAATTTAATTACCTCAAGGAATGTTTAGATGGACCCGCACTTCTATTAATTAAATCCCTTCCCTTAACTAATGCTTCTTATCATGAGGTAATCCGACTTCTAAAAAAAAATTATGGAAATTCTAATGAAATAAATAAGACCCTTCTCCATTCAATTCGAAAATTACCCACAGTACATTCCAATAATGGCCCCGAAAATCTTTGTATGGAACTACGATCATTCGTAGACCAATTCGAACTATTATATTTACAAATGATTGAGCAGGAATTTGACATAAATACACTTCCCATCCAAATGGAATTAGAATCAAAACTTCCACCTCCTATTTTAGAAGAGATATTTAAAGCCAAATACGACTATGGAGAAAACTGGCAAACTGATCAATTACGGACAACACTAAAACAAATACTGAAAAGAAAAGAAGGAATAAAAGCCCTAGACAAACAAAAGAAGGAGCTAAACGAAAAGATAAGTCACCCTTGTATTCCAAAATCACCACGACCCGTTAGACAGATTAGCCCACCTAACACACCACAATCATCCCTAACATTTTATACATCTCAACAAAACAATAAAACAGGGAGGTTTAGATTCCCCTGTATTTTTTGTAACCAGCCTGACCATTTATCCCACCATTGCTATAACTATAATTCGATCCATTCTCGAAAATCCCGTTTATATGAGAAAAATTTATGTTTTAATTGCTATAAACCCAATCATATTTCGAGAAATTGTCAAAGACCACTTACTTGCACCAATTAATAACCTACATCCCAGAGCACTTTGCCCGAAATTATTTAACACCCAAAGTAATGAACCCCACATAGATGAAGATTATAAGGAAGAACCCAATATATCCCCACAACAAGAAATTTCCCAGCAACATACAATTAATCACTCACAAATAGCACCAATCACAACCCCTCCTATAACTCCAATCCCTTTATCGTTAATAAAATTACCGGATAAATTTTATACCGCCAAGTCCTTTAATATTTTCTCAAAAACCGAAACCAAATCTGTTACGACCCGAGGGTGTCCGAGATTTAACTAATGCGACGAGCACAATAATAACACTTTATCACACGAAGAAATAAACAATGTGTAGGCGAAGGGAATGGGACAGACGAAGGAGATCAGTGACTAGCCCCGCTAGTATGATCCGAATAGACTGACGTTTCCTCTGGCTTTTATAGTAAACACTTTAAGGGCTGACGCCCATACACAACACCTCCCCCCTTGAAAAAAAGGTTCGGCTTTCACTTAAAGCCGAAGCTTTACAACTTTTTAACTTTCACTATAGCTTCCATGCTATCAATACAATTCACTAAGCCAGAGCGTCTAGTCTCTCACTAACACTCAATTAATAACAAAATACAAAAAAAATGTGGGATGACAAAAGGGCAAAAACAACAAATTAAAATTACAATACAACAATTACAAAAATCACAAAATTTGTCATCTTATTCCACATTTTTCTTTTGGCGGCGGTCATCTACAGTGCATACAACAGCTTCCAATACGGCAACGCACGTCCTTGATTGGTCACACTGTTGATCATGACACTGCTTGTCCATAAGCTTTTCACTTTTATTTTTCACTTTTCTTCACTATTTTATTTTCCTCACTTTTATTTCACTTCCATTTTTTTACAATTCTATTGAGGCACTACTTTCACTTTTTTTTAACACTGTGCCTAATAACTAAACTTCACTGAATTGCATTACTATCACTATTTCACGACTTAAATGAAGTCAAACACCACAACACTAACATATAGTTAGTGTGCAGTTCGGTGCCGTTTTCCCGTGTACTTTTAGGATGGCTCGTGGTTTAATACTATCACTTGAATACTACTACTAACTAACTAACCACTCAAAGGATGCCTGTTACATCCTGCCTCTGTCAAAGACTCAGGTACCGCAACACTTCACTGAACTTACACTATGTGTAGTCTGGGTTGCTTCACTAACTTGCGCTGGAATACTTCATTCACTAATAATATTCACTCCTCAGCGCCTTGACTCACTACAATACAATTCACTCACTATTTGGTCTTACCCACCCTTTAGGCTGCCAAATTTAATTTTACTTACTAACAATTCAAACTTCATTATTTGGTCTTACCCACCCGTAGGCTGCCAAATTTTCACTTTTACACTTTTCACTTTTCTCAATTTCTGGACTTACATTCTCATGAATGCCAGACACTTCAACACTTGATCGGCAAAATCTGCGCACTTTCAGGACCACTAGGCATTTCAGCCTTACACTAGGCATTTCAGCCTTAAACTAGGCATTTCAGCCTTAACTATAGACCACTGGCACTCGCACTGAGTCCATTATTGGTCACTACTAACTCAAAAGGTCCATGCGCACTAAAAAAAACAATTCACTCCATTTCACTTCGACTCATGCCGATCACTAATTACGACGTCTGTCCACTCACAATCAAACAATCACTTCACTAATTGCCAAAGCAATTCACTACACTTCGCCACACTTCACTTTTTGTCGACCGCGCCATTGTTACGACCCGAGGGTGTCCGAGATTTAACTAATGCGACGAGCACAATAATAACACTTTATCACACGAAGAAATAAACAATGTGTAGGCGAAGGGAATGGGACAGACGAAGGAGATCAGTGACTAGCCCCGCTAGTATGATCCGAATAGACTGACGTTTTCTCTGGCTTTTATAGTAAACACTTTAAGGGCTGACGCCCATACACAACAAAATCAGTACATTTAAACAAAATAAAAGTTGAAAGTAAATCCTTAATGCACGAAGAGCCACAATTAATCAATAGCTCAATTAAAATTTGCTCAAAAATAAACGACAATCAAAATCAATTACCCATCCCCGATCCCACGACACCCATTCCCGCAAATACAATTAATCAAAAACACGGTCCACTGAAGACCATTGAAAATAATAGGTTAGAAATAAAAATTTCAGTTCCCACAGATAATGTGCGTAGAAGGAAAGGACTAGACAAATCTTCAGGCCCCCCAGGTGATGTTCCATCAGACAAATCTTCAAGTCCGACTCCCCCCGCAACAGAATTGGACTCTCATGATCTACCCACTTCCCCGCCTGTTGCTACTGACAAACATCAAAAACAAAATATTCCGACTACTAGGCCACAACCGCATGCTCCTTCGAAACTGAAAATGATTTTGGATCCTCCACCGCTCCACCCATCTCTCCAGTCAAGTTCCCCATAAGCCGTGTTCGAGTACTCCCTTCTGGTTTTGTTGAACGTCTCCCAGCTGCAAATATCACAACAAATCAATTGTACAAATTGCATAACAAGAGAATTAAGAAAAGAAACAATTCAAACATTCCACCATTAAACTCAATTAAATTTACGATCCCCCCTATCCTAGGGCGAAAACCACACATTATAACTAATTGTAACAATGTCAACCCAAATTGGCCCATTCCTAATCTTCTCCCTTTATTCAACATCCAGCATATATTTTGTTATCTCCCATTATTCAATATTCAACCCTTTCACTCAATGGTCGCCGCGGGAGTGTCGCATCCTGCGAATTACTCATTTAATTAAACTTATGAAATTACGAAATTTGTTAATCACTGAAATTCTTTATTCACTTTCTCACACAAACACATTACAAAATACTTTCCTGTAAATCAACCGCTATAAAAATAGCTGGCTTTTCCCCGTTTTATCTATCACAGCGGTCTCGGCGGTCATTAAGTTCTCTTTGGATCACAATCTGTCCCTTTTATTATAAAAATATTATGCTTTTTCCTTGTTAAATTAATTGTATTTTTGTATTGTGAAATAAATTAATGAACGTTAAATTAATTATTAATTAGGATTTCCCGAAAGTATAGGGAACATTTCCTACATCGGTATCGGTATCGGTATTTCGGTAAAATACCGATACCGAAAAAATACCGATTTATTAAAAATTGTTCGATACCGTATTCGGTATCGGTATTTCGGTAAAAATACGGCGGTATTACCGAAAAATACCGCCGTAATACGGTACCGTGAATAACACTAATATTAACTACAATTTAATTTGAGTTATTATATAGAAAATATTTTCCACCTTGTGAATTTAACCGGAATATTTGTCCAATTATAATAACAACTGCATTAATGTTGATACTACTTATATATTTCATATAAACGGAAATAAAAGCAGCAGCACTATTAAATAAACTAATCAAAAAGATTTGAAGAAAAATCTGAAATTTAGGGTTGTGACTATATTTAATTTTAAAAACCATTATTTCAGAGTAGCTATGTTGACTTCCTCCTTGTTTGGATTTTATTATGAAAATTATAAAAAACGTTAAGTAAGTAATTGACAGAAATAATATAATTAATGAATCGTGAGATGCTAGAAGAGTGTTCTCATATTCCTTTTAACAAATTGAATATTTTAAACAAATATTCAAACAAATACATGATTAACATCATCAATTTATCCTATGTGCGGATTGAGGAACCAGCCAAAGTAGATGCCGCTAAACAAACCATGCTTTTCCCACATAACTACGGATATACCGTATAATAATGGAATACCAAGCCAAAAAAGCAATCTTTTGCCTGTTAATAGAGAAAGATTTAGATAAAAGAGAGAGATTTAGGAATTTCTTCAAAAAATTATTTTCCAACCGCCAAAAATTTTTTTAGCCAATTCAGAAGATAATATTTCAATGCAACGATTTATAGCTAAAATTACTTCCATTATAGATTCAGCAGACCAGCAAACTAATAATAAAATAACATTAAATCATTAAAATACAAACATAAACTACAGGCCCCAACAAAATAAATAAATGTTGGTGAAGAACAAAAGACATATCCAAAATATCCCAAATATCCAGTGACTAATCCGGCACACAAAATTGCTGCCATATCAATAACACCAATAACGAACATAATTTTATAACAATTAAATTTTGCCATTAGCTTCCAAATTGAAAACATACAAGGAATATAGAGTATCTATTATGTATATTTAATAATAATTTAAAATTGGTCCTTTTCTCTCCAAACCACTACTACGTAGTGAAAACACTAATATCGGAATTTCTCCAATAAATGAGCAACAATAGGTGAAACATACGAAAAGGTTCTTGAAAATTTGGGCACTGTAATGTTGGGCTCATAGGGTCACAAAAGAATCCCCTCCATTGGAATCGCAAGTTGTAATTGGCTCCTAAACTTTTGTTTGGGATCATAAAGTTCACTTGACTTCAAGGCAACATTTACTAAAGGTTCCCTAAACTCAAAACTAGTCCTCCGCCCTTTTCAAAATTTAAAAAATTGCCAAAATTTTTATTGACTTAAATGTATTTCAGTACCTCATATATTGTAGACAAAATAATAAAGAAAATTCCAAGTATTTTATGCTGGCGTTTTTCTAAGGGAATTTGTTCAACACTGTAAATACTACAATTGTAAACACGCTCATATTCATCATGACGAAATAAATATAAGTCCATTTCTTTTTAAATTTTTTATAAAAATTTGTAAATTTTTATTTTGAAAAATTTTCGTTTATTTTTTATAATTTACATGCCTTTAAGTTAATTTTACAAATATTATTATTGATAAATAAAAAATAGTTTATAATTATGTATATTTTAATATGACATTAGAATTTTCAAAAGACAAATGCTTTGTTTGCTTTAAAATTATAGAAATATTTCTAGTAATTAATTAGAAGGCAACAATTTAAAATTCAAATAAAAACAAAAAAATTTTTAATAATAAATAATATTTGATGAAAAGTACACCTGCGTGTATAACTAAAAAATGGCAAGGCTCTAGACAATTTTTAAAATATTTTTAATTATACTTTAAGAATTTGGAAAAATTCTGTCATATCACCTGGAACCGATTGAGACAAATGATATGTCATTCGAAGAACACCAAAGACACCAAAAAAGAAAAGAAGACACCAGAATCAAAAGACTCCAAAATTAGCTTCGGGATCACCTATGAGCCGAGATATAGGTCGAAAATCTAAAAACCATAGGAGGGGGGAAGCTTAATTTTGGTTTGAAAATTCGATTTATTGAATGATAGCTTATTCGAAAGAGCTCCTCGAGCATAATCAAATGACAGAGTTAACTCATTTAAGTTTCCACCGGTCTTAATTTTTTAAATTTTTGGTACACGTAAGGAATGAATCGCTTCTAAATGCTTCCAAAGACCAGTGGTTGATCCATTTTTCCTACGTAATTTACTCTCGCAAATTGTGCACTCCGCACTTTGAACAATATTGAGGATTTTGTTTCTTTGAGTCAGTATCGTTTCTCGCCGATAAATGGACCGAGAATTTCAGTATCAGGTTCGAGAACGAGAATGAAAAGACCGAGACCGATATTGGAAAAAAGCCGAGAATCTCGTTATCGTCTCGCCTTTTCCAACTCTTATAGAAGACTTTCATGAAAAAAAATAATACCTAATTTTTCTATTTTGTGATTAATTTTCGGGCAAATATATGTACATATTTCTACTATTTATCGGATTTTTATAAATTATTACATAATAAATAATAAAAATATAATATTTTTTCTTAAAGTGCATTTAAGAAAGACCAAAAATAATTTCACAATTTAGTATAAAATCTCACAAATATGTATGTATATTAAATAAAGGTTAAATAAATTTTTAAAGACGTCAAATGAGACAAACGTCTGCTTAATTGTTTAGAGATTAATTAGAGCATTTAACGTTCGATTTTATACCTTTTTGATCCTTAATATAAAGTGATGAATGATGTAAATCATTCATTCATTTAATTTTTTTAAATTTTTAATTTATGAGAGTGAAATAATATTAGGTAAAGCTGTTCAAAAACACTTTGTCTTTTGTTATTGGCCCGGTAGCATAAGTAAAAATATTCAGGGACACAAGTTCTATTCCTATACTTCTGTAAAACTACTTCTGTAAAAACCGGATTAATAAAATTTGGCGAAAAAATTATCAAAATTTTCGCCTGCCGCGGTGAAAAAAGAAAGAGATCTTGGCACTTGCCTTTAAAATTTTCAGCGCTTGGATTGGCGTGATATTGGCAAGAGATTTGGAGACTCTTAATACTCAAACTTGAACGTAAGAAAATACCCGATATCCTATTACTCCTCAAAATCACCCATTCCTCACACAGATAATACTGTTAATCCTAAATTCCCTCAATACCCCTGTTAATTTCCCAAATCCATTCATAATTGATCTGTATCCCTCTATATCATCCATAAGACTCAACTTTACAGCGCTACAGGTAAACAGCGCTGATAGTAAAATTTTCGGTTCCGGATCCGGATCCGGATATCCGAAAATTTCCAACTATCCGATAACCTTAATTTCGAATAATTCTTTTAAACTGTATTTTTCATGTTAATTTTATTAAAATTATTTATTAAAGTTGTATTCTTCAATGAAGAATAAAATTAAATTATTTGTCCTTTTATTTACTTTATTATTTTATTTTTCTTCTGAAAATCTACATGAAAAAAAAATTTTGGTCAACTCTACAGAAAATAATAAAAACGAGGATGGAAGTGTTAAAATAAATTTGTTGAGAATGCAAGTAATTAAAGTTCAATCAATTTACAAAATTGAAATTTTATACGAAATTGATGAAAAAAATGAAAAAGATTACGTTTTTCCAAGTTCAAATCCATACGACTGTAGCAGACCATACGAAGATTCACAAAAAATCAAAAGTAAAATTGATGGAAATACAGGGAAAAAAATAATTTTGATTGAGAATATGTTCTTCTATTCAAAAATAGATAAAATAATAATTTGCTTAAAAGAATTTAAAAAATTTGAGGTACTTATTTACCTTGTGTCCGCTGGAAGAAGAAGATTAGACATTTTAATCTAGATTATATATAGAAAGAGTTTGCAAAAGTTTAGTCACCGGGCAGGATTCGAATCTGCGACCACCTGCTAGTTGTTGCTAGGCGCTTTTGCTTACTATATGCAGGAGCTCAACCATGCTTTCTCTTTATCCTTTTTAGATCGTTTAACCCCCGCCTAAGCGTTTTAAATGCTGCTGGGTGAATCATCCTTACAATATGTTGTGACCATTCTTACAAAAAATAAATTAATTGCTTCCAGCGGATACAAAGTAAATAAGTACCCAATTTGATTATGTAAAGTTTAAATTTTTTATTTGAAATTTTTAAAAATTGCATCACTAATTGTAAAGTTATAGCTGCTATTTAATTGCTAAAGCTTTCAAGTAAGCGTCGTGGTGTAATTTATGGATAACATATCAGTCCTGTCCAGAGATGTTTCGAAACAAAAAAAAATCTTCGAAAATCTGAAATCGAAAGAACAAAACCCTTGAAAATCGAAATTTCGAAACAATTCTGGTCCGGTCTACTAAAGATCTACCTAAGTAGAGAAATGCTTTATTTAATTCATATACCAATTGGGAACGAAAAAATCGTAATAATAATATGCGATATTTGAAAGAAAATCATGAATTCTAGCATAAATGTTTAAGGGCCTGATAGATATATGGAGTAAAGCATCTGGGCTATAGCTATTTCTCTCCTTTAGCTAGTGCAAAAGGTTATTCGGCGGCTGGGAGCGAACCGTACCGGACTGATGTGTTAGCCATTACACCACGCCGCCTACTGCACAGCCTTAGGAAATAAACAGCTATATGCTTTACAATGGCTATATAGATACGAGATCCTATGTTTTTCACTTTTAGAAAGCAATAATGACTTTGTCACCTCTGTCTTTATTCGATTTTGAAGTCAATAAACTGTCAAATGAGGATATAATAAATGCTTCTCAAGATCCTGGTGTAAAAATAAACATTAACGGAATAAAATTGGCCTTTCGGAAATTTCACAACAATTATGCTATATTAACAAAATTAACATGTTTTTTGAATCTGGAAGGGCCTAGAAAATCGTTAAAAAGAAAACATTTTAGCAAATTTGAATTAATTGAGTCAACTTCAATAAATGGCAAAAAACATCAAGAGAAACCTACTGTCATTAAAATTTGTTTAAAATTTGAAAATCCAGGGAATTATATTATTGGCTTAAATGGTACAGATAAGGGAAAACTCCTTTTCTACGTCAAAATTAAAAAAGCAAACGAGGAAAAATGTGTTATTAAAACGTTGACGGATCTTTCTGATGTGTACAAAAAAGTACTGGAAGGGTTGAAGCATCGCATAATAGTTACAATATCAAAAACTGATATTGATAATTTTGAAGATGGACAAATGGATGTATTTACAGGCTTGATAATTCAATACATTGGCGCAGAAACTGTTGCTATGATTACACTTTTAATTGATGAAGGGAGTTACAAATTTTATTCGGATGAGGATGGATTAACTCGTGAAGGAATTAAGTTTGCTGAGGCAGATAACGAAATAGTCAATTTTTAAAAAATCTTGACAAAATGAGAAAGCATTTTATGAAAGCTGTGAAGAATTAAATGAAAGAAGATGTTCAAAAATGTAAAGAAATTAGTATATGGGTACCGGAGTAAATTCCGTAGTAAATTCCCATACAGGTACCGTATATTTCGGCATTGGTAGTTGGAATACATGAGAAGCTCCAACTTTATGAAACTTTGGGCTCTACATATAAAATGAATATTGGGCTCTAGAATTATATTTGTAGGTGGATGTAGGTATCGGAGGGAGTAACTTCCTCTCAAAAAATATAAAATTATAACCTTGTCACAAAATAAATTACTAACAAATAAGTAAAGTCGGAAAGACAAATTGTGAAATAATCAGTATGTAAAAAATAGAACCACAGTATTAATTTTAAATTATTTAGCAAAATTAAGAGATTGGATTTCGAGAGTGATATATCTATTTTTCACTAACTCCATTTTTTGACTAAATTACAAAATTTAATCCGACGTCCACAATTCCCCGCACCTAAAATTCTAGAGCCCAATATTCCGTTTCTTCATGGAGCACAAAATTCCAAAATGTTGAAGCCAACTTTCCATTGCCTAAATTTCCGGATACCTTCTCAAACATTTTATTTGTTATATTTTAACAGAACTGCATAAAATGTTATTTGAAAATATTTTTTATTGATAGAAAATAGTTTCATTTTCAACTTCTATTTTATGAGTCTATTAAAAAAAAATTCACGAAAATTTCACGCTGGCAAAATAATTACTGCTTTAAGTGTATTTATAATGTTTCTAATCTTGCAGGC